TGGAAACAGTAAAGGACTGGCCCGCAGTGCCTCTGCCAGCGAAAATGGAGCTTGCGAAGGCTGTGGGCAGCCCTTCTGAGCTCTGTTTTTGCTGGCAGAGGTTGCAGGAGGCCACTGCAACCGAAAATGGAGCTCAGGAGCCCGTTTTAGCTGGCAGAGTGCTCAGGCCACCACAGGCACCCTGACATGAGTGATGTCGAGCTGGCCACGCCCACCCCAGCCACGCTCACCCCGGCCCCCTAAGGTCAAATACATCCTTGATGTGAATGAAATCGAGTTTAGTCTAAAACATATAAATTACTTGTACTTCAAATTTTTTTTAAATGATTTCCTCTTGTTTTGTATAGATATTGAATAGCACTGGATATGAGCCGGTCTTTCTCTCAGTGCTGTTTGTTATGATCAGCCATGCATAAAGTTTCCCTGACTCACAATTAATTACATAAGATACCTGCCCGATGATATTAAAAGTTGCTGAGAGGCAAACAATAATAGGACTGCACCATCCCCCCTTTTCTGGTACAATCAGAAAATATTTCCTCCAAGAGTAACCACAGGTAGACCGCCACATCTTTTGCCTGTTGTGTGAATCCATGATAGTTTGCATACTATGGTAAATGGCTTAGCCCAATATTTAAACCGTCACTTCTTCAACGCGCTAGCAAATGCTTCATTTTCTCGTGTTGTTCAAACAGCAGTGAGTCTCAAAGGATATTAACTAATAAGAAAGAAGATACTTTTAATGAAACTATTTAAAGCAGGATTTTTAAAAGGCATCTACAGCAGGATATTTAAAACTATTTCTTTAAGCTCTCTCCTAAACTCAAGGTGTTTTCAATGTAATTTCAAGCTCCATTAATTGGGTAAATAGAGATGCAAACTTTGTAATAGTCTCAGCAGAGGTACCCACCAAAATGCATTTTGTTAGGAAATTTAGCTAGGAAAATTAGCTAATTGCTCAGAATGCTTGAATAACCTTGGAACAGACTCTGTTTTCCTTCATCGTTTTAGTCAATCCAGATCTCTGCTGCAAAAACAAACAAACAATGTATACACAGATTACATTGCTGGCTAACTCCCTGGAGACGTATGAGACGTATGAGTGTACTTTGGCTGTCTGTTCAATATGACTACCGTTTATGTGTCAAATAAAAGCAAAGATTGCAAAAGCTCATAAACTTTTAACTGCTTGACTCTAAAGTAACCTAAGTAATCCCTAGAACTTCTCCAGTAATTAATTTATTTAATTACTGAAATGAATCTTACATTCGTTACCCAGATATCTGGGGATTGCAATTTTCAGAATCTTCAACCACTACAGGAAGGCTGGTCATATATACAATTCCTCAGATACGCACTCTTTTTGCAAGATTAGCTTTTCCCAACCTGCAATTCTACCTCTGAGCTGGGCAATACAACATATATAGACTTCCAATCAACCAGGTAAGAGGCAGACTTAACCCACTTGGAGTTGGGGAAATATGCTATATAGCTTCTAGCAAAAATAATAATAAATCTTCATTTTGTCTCTATTGACTCTTCTACTATATAGGTTCACTGGAGTTCTAGTATTAATATAAGAAAAGCATCTTCTTCCATTATCTCAGCCTTCCTCTACTGCAGTGGTCCCCAACCTTTCTGGCTCCACAGACCAACAACAACAGTGGCGGTGGTGATAGCAGCAGCAGCAGGAGAGGATGGTTTCATATGCGCAACCTAGCTCCATACATGAGTAAATGAAGCCATAAATGAGCAAATGAAGCTTTGCGCACTCGTCTACCACTTGTGTGGCCTGGTTCCCAACAGATCATGGGTATCAGTCCATGGCCCACAGGATGGGGACTCTTGCTCTATTGATACTCTCCAGACTAGTAGTATTATATTCCTCATCATTTCCAGTCACTTCAATTTTTCTACTCAGTGGAAAATTTAAGTTTTATTCCAATGTATTTGGAAGCCTAAAATAGCAAAGCATTTCTCTTTACACCATACAAGTTATTGTCATGGCTCTTTAGAGGTCTTGTTCCTTAAATTAAATCTCACTCTCTTGCACACACATACACACATACCCCATAGCATTCTTACTGAAGAAGCTATTTCAACTCCCTTCTGACTTTAGAATTTAGAACTTCCCATATTCAAAGACATGTAGATCTGCCTTGGTTCAAAAGTCTTGGTATCAACCACACTTCTATTTGGAATAAGAGGAATTCTATATCTTGTGATGCTGAAGTATCTGTCAGCTTTGGAAGCCATATTAGGCCGGAAGCTTCAATGCTGCCACCTTCTCATGTGTGAGAAAGTAGGAAGGGGGATTAAGGAGAGGGGTTGTTAGTAGACATAATAGGATTCTTCCTGTAGGTCAAGGTCAGGGCGATCCAGCATCTGGAGAAGGAATGGTCAGGGGGCTGGGTCGAGATGAAACGGACGTTGATTGGAGCATGTGATCGACTAGGGAGAAAGGGGATGGTTTTGGGGGTTTTGACTTACTGAGGGAAAACCCGGGCTTTTCAGATTTGGGTTTCCCCAGATGTGCCAGTTTGCCTATTCTAGTAAAGAGAACTTTGGAAAATGCTTGCTTCCACGTCTTTACTTGGGAGTTGGGGTTTTTCTGGAACGCTGACAGTATCTTTACAGGCAGGATGGGTGGCAAGCCATTCTAACAAATAATAATAAATATTTATTATGTATTTATTCTGCTAATAAATAATAAATAATTTTTAAAAAATATTGCCACAACAAAATATCAAAGTTTTTATATTTTTGAGATAGCACGGGAAAGGCACATAATATCAGTCCCAAGAGTTTAAAACCTGGCTAACAAAAGCCTAAAGTAACCGAACACAGAATTTGCTACTTGAATTCAACATTAAAAAAGGAGACCAAGGGTAAGACAAGATCACAAATAAGCTGAGCAATTGATTCTAAAGTTTTCTAAAAAATATTTTAGACACCTGTCCACTAAGCTGCCAGCAAGTGCAATAGCAGACAATTATACATTCAGTGAAAACTATAAAACCTGACTAAGGATAGTCAGGAATAACTATTTTCTGTAATTTATATCATCTTTTATCAATTTGGCATCCTATAAATGGGTTGAGGGTACAATTCACAGAATTTTTAGAAATTAAGCATTCTGGGGGTTGCTGTCCAGCCCACATACTGAATACTAGGTTAAGCCGGGCTATTTTAAAAGTACAAAGAATGTTAAATCATTACTGGTTTCAGATTGAAAAAAATGAGGTAGTGTAAAAACAATAGGAAGGTTCTAGGTTTGAGCCTATTTTGAAATAACTATTAATTAGACTTTTATTTTATATTTATTTTATTATTATATTTTATTTTTTTAATTGGTTAGCATATGGTGTACGTAGCCAGGGAAGCCTATTCTGCTTTGTACCACAAAGTAGTTCTGGCAGCTTAAGGTTACTAGTTCATTTTGTTCATGCATGTGTGCTATGCACACTATAGCATGGGAGCCAAACTAGCTTTGCAACTGTTGGCTAGTAGCGTTTGTGGATGTTGGGTCATCCAGGTTCCCTTCCACCGACCTCACCTCGCATCTGGGCAGGACTGGCACCGGCTCCTGCTTCTGCACGGAATGCCGCTACCTTTTCTCATCGGAGTGATATCTATTTATCTATTTGCATTTGTACTTGCTTTCAAACTGCTGCATGGACAGGAGCTGGGGCAAATGTCAGCTCATTCCCTCATGCAGGGCCATAGTCTCAGACTGCCAGAGTGCCAACCATCTCTGGCCAACAACCCCAGTATCTTTAAGCCGTTGTGCCACCTCGCCCTTTATTAATTAGACTGAGTGGGATATATAAGGAGTATATATACTTACACATAAAAGTAAGTTGAATACAGCGAGAATGGTTTGCTTGAGAATTGTGTGGGATAAAACAAAAGGAAGAGAGGATCAAGAATGGATGCAATGAGTTAATGTAATCTGAATACAAAACTGAATATGAAAGAAGTAATTTGAGGTGGTTTGCTCATGCAGAACAGAACAAAGATCAAATTGCCAAATACAGGGAGGAAATGTGAATAGATTGAGAGAAAAAGGAAACCCGAGAAAGCAGTGGTTGGAGGGAATTTATTAGATTTTCAGAAGGAATGGTGGAAAGTTTAGAGAAGAGAAGGAGAAGTATGAATCGTTATATGGACATGGTAGAAACACAGATGATTTCAGGCGCAGAAAGTATAATGAACAGTGTTGATCTAAACTAGAAATCTGATTTACTTTTCTTGCATCTCATGCCTTTTTTGTGATCATTTTCTTAAATTCTTTTTGCACATTGCATAATATTGCTTTCTCTCTATTTTTAATGATACTTACCCTTACAAAGGGGAACAGCATGACGAGTTTATATGTGTGTTTGTATATAATTCTCAGATAAAGCCTATGATGCTTTATTACATAAGATCTATATCTTTTCAGAAAAGGGGATATGCATTAATACTATTTATTTCACTCAGCTTCATTGAGTAACTCTCTTTTGGACCCTCTGCAATTTCCAACATTGTCAACCCGCTAATGGCCATGATCTTTAGCTGATTACAGAAGTGCTAAAAAATGATGGAATGAAAATTGTACCCATTTGTTTTAGAATAAGATCTTAATGTTCTATAATCCTCATGCTTCTTCTTTCCATTATAAAAAGATCTTACACATCTATTTTAAAGAATTATACAAACATAACAGGGGGAAACTAATTTTTCTATAAAAATGATAATTTGTGAATCAGGTGGAAAGCAAATAGTTAAAATGGATATGAAAGTGTACATTCTTCAAAGAAGAAGGAAAAACTGGAGCAGAGTGCACTAATCTTTGTTCAGGTTTACCAATCTTTTTTTATTAAAAAGTTATAAAGCTTTAACTTTGAAAGATTTTTTTAAAAAAGTGATTGAATGAGGAAGTGTTCATCATGTCTTATCAAAATATGCTGTGCCATGCACTGCCCAACAGAATTGTAATGCTGCAGTTTGTATAGACTTTATTCACCATTTTATTTGTACTACTTATTGCTGACTTGCAACAACAATGGTGGCACCAGCAAGATGAGAGAACTGCATTTAACCAGCATTGCTGACTTCAGTATCTTTCTTTTTTTACAGTTTTGGCAAAGGAGAAATTTGTGTAGAAAAAGTGGTATCTACACCTCTCATTTTCAAATATATTTAAATGATAAAATAAATTTTAATTTATTTTATTACATTTTATTTTATTTAAATAATTACATTATAATTACCCAATGTACATACATAAATTTATACAAAAGCTGATGTACAATATACATCTCATAATTGCATATACAATTTAGTAGAATTTTCATTCGTTTTGCATAGATTTAATCCATGATTATATTAAAACTTCAAACTCAGTTTTGAAGACAGTAAGCAAAAGTATAGATAAAATCTGATCAAACATTTTACATGAGGTAAACCAATGGTTTGAAAAGTGTAAGACAGTTCTGGGGCTGGAGGTAAGAATGAAAAATTAATAAGGGACAAGAGTTTGTGCAGAGAAAAATTCCACATTAGCCAAAACCTGAGGGAGCATTCAATACCAACCATCAGAACACTTTTTCAAAGCATTGAATATTTCATAGCATTTTGGGGGTTTCATCCTTTCTTCCAGCTCACTTTGGCACACAGTTAACCTACTGTCCATTTTTAGAGGACATAGCCTCATGACACAATCTTTGTCACAATTTAGGAAGACAACCTAAATTTGTCTTCAGTTATTCCAATTTCAGGTAGTGTTTTCCATCTTCTCCCAACACAATTCTCGGCATACTAATGATCTACAAAGCTGAATTCATAACCTTGATCTTAATGCAGTCTGCATCTGGCTTCTTCCAAGGACCTACTGGATAAGTGAAGATGCTGTAGCCACAACTTTTGGTCACAGGGTGCTGCCCTTCATGCCCATTTTGACTTGGACTTCAGGAGAACCTGAACATCAGGTTTGTACAGAAGCATCTGCCCTTCTAGTGCCTGGCCTGCACTTTGCAATCTGCCTTTCGTTCTAATCTGTTTATTATTATGTATTGATTTTATTACTATCTTTATTACTTTATGAGTAACCCAAGATGGCGAACACACCTAATGTTCCTTCTTTCTATTTTCCCCACAACAATCATGTGAGGTGGGCTGGACTGAGAGGGAGTGACTGGCCCAAGTGATTGCTGCTTTGTCTTAATGTTTCCCTTTACTTGGCTTTAAAAAAATCAGAACAATATTGTTCTTGCTTCTTTTCTTCTTTTAGTTTTGGACTAGCATCCAAGCTGCATGCAAGAACAATCTATGCTGGTTAAAGGGAAAACATATGACGTAAATGGGAGAGGTTAAAAAGCTTGAGAACCATTGGCTTAAACAAATATAAATGAGCTCATTCTCTCTAATCTTTTATTACTGAAGTTGTACAGATAGTGCTTGTTTACTAATGACAACTGGGACTGGAAAATTGGTTCTTAAGTGAAGGAGTACCTAGTGAAACTGCACTTGGGCTCGTGACCTTACTTCAGCTTTCCTTTGCTTTATAGACCTGCAAAGGTCATAAATATGAGAATGAGTCATGAAAGGACTTTTCTGTTACCATCGTAACTGCGAGTGAGCAATTCCTCACTTTAAAAATACCACATAATCTACGCATAACTATTCCATACTGTTAGGAGACACCTGTAAGTATTTTGTGCACAACACGTTTTTCAGAAGCTAAATCAACCCATTGCTTTTGCTGTTCTGCAACCTTTTCTGCCAAACATTTTATTACAACAGGATCCACTTTTGAGTCAAATTTGTTGGCAAACCAATGCCCATGGTTGAGGAGCCATCTTAGTTCTGCAGCTCCATAGATGCACACACTGCGAAGATGTATACCAGTGCAGGGAGGATAGAGAAAGTTCTCATTGTAGTTCCATTTTACTAAACGGGTTTTGCTCTGAAGATCTGTGATATCTTCAGCTTCTCTTGAAATCTGTCCAGGTACTCCAGGTATACGAATAAGAGTTGCCCAGAAATGTTCATCCGGTGAATAAGTATCCTTTGACCATTCCAAAAAATCTTGAACGTGGGAATTGCCAAGAATATATTGTACAAAAGCTCGACATAAAACAAAGTATGCACTGCCTACAAAAATTTCAATATTGTGTGGAGGTGGACTCTTTGAAATACTAGTTTTCACAGGCACCTTCATATATTGATAAAACCTTTTTTGAAGTTCATAGTGATAGGTAAATCTTTCTTTTTTACTACTGCTTGGTCTGATAGTCTCCAACATGTTACCTCCATTAAGTCTCTTAAGTTCACATACCAGCTCAAAGTTTGATCTCAGGGGAAAATCTTGGCCACACAAATTAATTACATACTTCCATGGAACTGCAGATTTCAATAAATCAGATAAACAATTCAAGTCTGCCTGCAGCCTTGAAATATAGGCATACACAACCACTTCCAATTTGGATGCAATGAATATATTAGAGAAACATTTGGCCAGATTCTCCAAAGCCTGTTTGAAAGTGTCAGAAGACTTTTGGTCATAATGAATACAGTAGACATTCTGACTACTATAAATTGTATGAATGAGCCGCTCGACCATTATGGCATCTTTGTGAACAACCAGAGAATAAGCTACAGGGAATTCTTCTTCTTCTGGAGAAACGGCCTTCAGGTGATATTCTCTAATTGTTCGGTATTCCTGGCAGTTACTGGTCATTGCTATAACATCTTCATCTTCTAAATCAATAATCTTTTTTTTCTTTATCTCTAAAGACTTTCCAATCTCAATGGGATCTTGATTATAGATGAAGGAACAATTAATTTTATATTGGTCATATTTTTTTACATGGCTGTACTTGTTTTTCACAAATGATGAGGTACTTAAAGATGGTTCTACAAAGTACACATCTTTGTGAAAGAATAAAATCCTATCAGCTTTGAGCAGCAAAAGCAGGACAACTATTAAAACCAGTATTAAAATATGCCTTCGTATTGGACAAATATAGAAGCATTTGAGTTTCTTCATTCTGTGAAAAGAAAGAGTCAAAGATGAATTAAAGACCATTCTATATGTTTATAAACGTTACAAGAGTTAGCAAGATAACTATTTCAGTGATAACATAAATGCATTTCCTTGTATTTCTCTCCTACAATTGCCAGCAAGCTCTGGTAAAATGCATTAACATCTTGTAAAGGTTTGTTTTCTTGATTCAAAATGCTCTAGTCTTACCTCAGGAATGGATCATCTATCATGGGTCATCTATGATCTCTTCGGCCAACTTCTTTCACTTGCTTTCTTGCCATACTTTCTCTAAGAATTGCTGATCAGAACTGCCTCTTCTCCATATCATTCAGCAGAAGTGACCTCTGTTCTTCCCTTTCAGAAGATGCCTCATTTGCTCCTACAAGAGTGAAAAAAGATTTCAGCATGCTTGTATTACAGATTACAAAGTTTCATAAAATCAATTTTGGAGGAAATCCACCCAAAATATTACAACAAATAATTTTAGATGGACAGTCAAGAGTCCCAGTTTGGTCCAGTGGTTAAGGCACCAGATTGGAAAGTAGGAGATTGTGAGTTCAAGTCCTGCCTTAGCTATGGAAGCCAGCTGGGTGACCTTGGGCCAGTCACTCTCCCTCAGTCCAACCTACCTCACAAAGTTGTTGTTGGGAAAATGGGAGGAGGAAGGTGTGCTGGATACGCTCACCAGCTTGAGTTATTTGTAAAAATAATAAAGGCAGGATACAAAATAAATAAAACAAATAAAAATAAGGAGTGTGCTATTAACTTTTGTGATGAATACGAGGATCTTGTTGATTGGTGCTAGGATGTCTTAAATGTTAAAAATAGACACAAGATTCCCAGCTTTTCATTCTGCCCTGTTCATCAATGGTGGTGGAGCCTCCTGAAACCTGTCAGTGACTCTGATGTTATTGTGAGGAAAGGAATAGCAATAGCACTTAGACATATATAGCTCCATAGTGTGCTTTACAGAACTCTCTGAGTGGTTTACAAATATCAGCATATTACCCCCAACTATCTGGGTACTCGTTTTCTCTTGGAAAAATGGAAGGTGGAGTCAACTTTGAGGCAGTCAGGATCAAACTCCTGGCTATAGGCAGAGTTTGCCTGCAATACTACATTCTAACTAGTGCGCCACCATGGCTCAAGAAAAAAAGAAAGCAAGAGAATAAATAATCACGAATGAAAGTGAATAGACATGTCCCAGGATAATGTTGCAGGATCCAATCTCCCAGTGACCGACCCAGATTGGATCCTGGAGAACAAACAGTGTAAGTTGCACTTTGTAATGAGCCACAACTCCCGTTGTTCCTAGCTACTGGCCATGCTGCTAGAGTTAGTAAATTGCAGTCTCAAATGTCTCAAAGGCATTAGATTGGGGAAGGATGGTTAAAATATTTTCCCCTTTATTTGTGATCTGCCAGTAACAATAAACATTTATCTTTGTTTATTGTTTTGGAAAAAATGCAAACCATGGTATGACATTAACACAGTGCCTGAATGTGAGTTAAATTTATCACTTTGAGATACATCTAGATAATGATGTGAAGGATTTTGAAAATGCATTGGAAACTATTTATTTATTTTTATTTATATATCACATTTGGAGACTGCCCACAGAGCTACTGTGAATGAAACTTTGATAAAAAAATGGCCATTTCCTGACCAGAAGAAAGAAACACACATAGCGGTATTAATTCTTATTGTATCCACTCAACATCAGAGAAGACTGCAACTGCTGTTTGTAGGAGGTGTTTTTTTAAAAAAAAAAATTCTATGACTTTACATAAGTTGAACCCAGGTCAAACAACAGCATGTAGCTGATTCTGGATGATCTGAAATCCCCTAAAAAGTGTCAGACTTGATTTAATTTTTCAGTGGGATATTACTATCAGATGATACCAGGGCTGTATGCTGGCTTGTAATGTTAAAAAAACCCAACCCATTCTGGAAGAAGACAATTGCAATTAGAGGGTGTTATTACCTTTATATTGGGGTGAAACGTAAAATTTGTTACTACCGGTTCTGTGGGCGTGACTTGGGGGGGTAATGTGACTGGGTGGGCGTGGCCAACTTTTTTTTTTTTAACTTTTCAAAGCATTTTTTTGCATTTGCAGGCAACACAGCTGGGATCGTCAGAGCCTTTTCAAAGCATTTTTTAAACCACCTCTTCCCCAGAAGAGGTTGCAGAAAAAAATGCTTTGAAAAGCCTCTGACGATCCCAGCTGAGCCGCGCGATCATCAGAGGCTTTTTTTACTTTTAAAAGCATTTTTTCAGCGGAAGAAGTTGTAGAAAAAATGCTTTTAAAAGTAAAAAAGAAAAAGCCTCTGATGATCAGCTCAGCTGGGCATGGTGGTGGTGGGGCGCAGGGATTTTTGCTACTGGTTCTCCGAACCATCCGCCGCCAACGCTACCGGATCGGGCGATCCAGTCCGAACCGGGAGCATTTCACCCCTGCTTTACATCAGTTATAGTTTGGAATGATTTCCATATAGGTATAGAAATATGACCACAATTGAGCCCCAAATTACTGTTGTTAAGTGGGACAATTATTAAGTGAGTTTTGCTAAGATTTTATATCCTTTCTTGCCACAGTTGTTAAGTGAATCATTGAAGTTGTTAAATTAGTAACACTGCTGTTATGTGAATCTGGCTTCCCCATTGAGTTTGCTTCTCAGAAGGTTGCAAAAGGAGATCATATGACCCAGTGGTGGGTTTCAAAATTTTTTACTACTGGTTCTGTGAGTGTGGCTTGGTGGGCGTGGCAGGGGAAGAACTGCAAAGTCCCCATTTCCTCCCGATCAGCTGGGACTCGGGAGGCAGAGAATAGATGGGGGCGGGGCCAGTCAGAGGTGGTATTTACCGGTTCTCCGAACTACTCAAAATTTCCGCTACCAGTTCTCCGAACTACTCAAAATTTCCACTACCGGTTCTCCAGAACTGGTCAGAACCTGCTGAAACCCACCTCTGATATGACCCCCAGGACATTGCAACCATCATAAATATGAACCAGTTGCCAAACATCTGAATTTTGATCTTGTGACCATGGGGATGCTGCAATGGTCAGAAAGTGTATAAAACGGTCAAAAGCCATTTTTTTCAGTACCATTGTAATTTTGGATGGTCACTAAACAAATGGTTGTGTCATAAGAAAATTCCAATAGGAAATGAAGACAACAACACAAGCAGTAATGCTTACTTTAAGATTGGAGGTTTATTGTTTCTAATAATTTGGAACATAAGAAATAAATAGATATAAAATATATAAAAGATTTAATAGCAGTAATACTATCATCCTTTCATCCATAAGATTTATTGAATCTAACAGATGAATAGGCTATATGTTTTGATTCCTACAGTTGAAAATCAAGGACTACCTATATTCTAGTATGGATGTATGGACGTATGTATGTATATTTCACATTTCTTAATCAACCATCTCCCTCAAATAGGGGCTAGATACTATGATATTTTTCTAGTATCTTCCCTATTTTATTTTAACAAGGTGCCTTGTTTGTTACAAAAAAAGCTTAAGAAGAATAATACAAAGATGGGCTAATACAAAGATGCTTGTAGAATAATGGCTAAGTATTAATTAATCTAAAATTGTGCTAATGCATTCTCTTCATTTTTTGAAAATCCATCACTATACATATAGGCCGGTGATAGCGAACCTTTGTCACGCACGCGTGCCACAGCTGGCACGCAAAGCCCTCTCTGCGGACACGCGAGCCATCGCCCAGCTCAGCTCCACTGCGCATCGGCACACCTCCTGCCAGCCAGCTGATTTTCAGGAAGAGCAGGGGCGAGGCGCATGCAGGAGATGTGCGGGCATGTGCACGCATGCATGGGAGGGTGGGGTCATGTGCGCATGCACAGGGGCTGGGGGGAACACAGGGGTGTGTGGTGCACACGTTCCGGAAGTGGGGAAATGGACCCGTTTCTGACCTCTGCAGGGCCTCCGGAGCCCGGGGGAGGCTGTTTTCACACCCCCTCCTGTGGTGCAGGTTGCTAAAATTTTTGACTCCCACCCCTTGCACGCATGCATGGGGGGTGGGGTCACATGGGGGTCACATGCGCATGCATGGGGGACGTGGATGCATGCGCAGTTCGCGCGCATTGCATTATGGGTGCCAGCACCCACACGAACTGTTGTGTGGGCATGCTTTTGGCACACGAAGAGAAAAGGGTTAGCAATCACTGATGTAGGCTATAACATTTGTATAAAAGATATATTATCTACTTTGGCCCTAAGAAAGCTTTCGTATGTAACCACAGAGCCTGTACAACAATTGCAATTTTTAGTTTTCAGAAAAGAAAGCTTCTTAAAGGCATGGGAAAATAACCATTTTAAACATGGTTAAATTAATTTTCTCCAGTTTCTCATGTCAGGCATATCTCTCAAAGGACAAGTGTAGCTTTCAACCCTAAAAATGTTAGGTACTGCTATTGAAAAGATTTGTGGCAAACTTGTCCCAATTATATTGCATTTAGAAACTTTCCCTTATTAAAAAAGGGAAAAAACCGACTATGTGCCCATAGCCAGAATTCAATCCAATATTCCCCCTCTAATATATTAAGTGGCTAAGAGCCAGTGGTTTGAATTCCCAGTGCAGGGTGAGCTCCCATTACTTGTCCCAGCTTCTGCCAACCTAGCAGTTCGAAAGCACGTAAAAATGCAAGTAGAAAAATAGGGACCACCTTTGGAGGGAAGGTAACAGCGTTCCGTGCGCCTTTGGCATTTAGTCATGCCAGCCACATGACCACGGAGACGTCTTCAGACAGCGTTGGCTCTATGGCTTTGAAACAGAGATGAGCACCGCCCCCTAGAGTCGGGAACGACTAACACATATGTCCGAGGGGAACCTTTACCTTTACCTTACTGTAGAGTAGATCTAGTTAGCATGACTAGTGGCAAGTCATGGGGGGAGTTGTAGTTCAGGAACATCTGGAGGGCCATGGGTGTCTTATCAGCTATATCACCTTTGAATTTTGTCCTGATGTCTCTACCTACTTCTAAGGTTAAAATGCTGTATCTCACAGTTAAATCCAGACTTTTTGTGCTTTAACAAAAGAGGTAGCCTCATTTTGCTTTGTTTTTATGACAAACATATGATTGCATTCAACATTTATTCCAGAATCAGTCAAACATTAACTTGGTTTACTTTTTATTCATTCATCAGTATATCTGAGTCAAAGTGCTCAGCGTGTTGCAGATTTTGAATAAAGACCGAACAATACTTTCTTTCTGAACATTGCTGAACAAGTCATTATACTGCCAATTCCCATGTATGTGTATCTTCTGCTGACCGTGTGTTTTAGAACAGTCTATTTCAACAAATTAGAGAGGGTCTGATCTGTTGTTTGGGTGTCCTTAC